TTTTCTTAAACTCGGTTTTCTTGACGAAAATGGAGTACGTGACGAGGGATTCTATGGTTACGAAGCGTGTAGTTTGGCGCGGGGTATTCCCGATAAACTGTTCGTTTATTGTGATATTTGCGAACCTTACATAACAGGAGATGTGCAAACTCCTCTTCTCCGAATAGTGCCTGTCACAGGGGGTGGGCGCGATTACGAATATGGAACGAATCAGGTAAAACATTTCTCACCTCTGCATTATATCCCGCTGCGCCTAACAAATTTCCGACGGATTGAAATCGATATAAAAGACGATACTGGAAACAAAATACCATTTGAATCCGGCACGTTAACGGTGACTTTACATTTCAAACGTATCGATTAGATTTTTAAAAATACTCTGTAAAGATTTTTTTGATAAGAAAGAAGGGATTTGTTCATTAATATGGATTATTATTCGGAGTATTATAACGAATTACAAAACGGTGGAACTCGCGGTGGCGGAATTCCACGAGTTTTTGTCGGTTCACCCTATCAACGAGGTCATGGAATAGGTAGTTTTCTCGGAGGAATGTTCAGACGTGTATTGCCTTATTTAACTAGAGGTCTAGGGGCAGTGGGTAAAGAAGCTTTGCGGGCCGGGGTTAATATAATCGAGGATGTTGAAAATAAAATGCCGTTAAAGGTAGCTGTCAAACATCGTTTTGAACAATCGCGTGACAATCTTAAGAGAAAAGCTAGGGAAAAAATAAGTAGTCTAATGAAGGGTACGGGATATAAATCAGATGAAAAAATTCATGTAGCGCAGTTTCCTTTCGGCAGGCTTAAGACTCACGTCGCTAAATCCTCGGTAACCGTGTCGCGTAAACGGCGTAAGACAAATAAGAAAAAAAGTTTATCGAAAATCAAGTCTCGTGGGAAAAAAAGAACAAATACAAAAAAAACTAAAAATAATACGAGGAAAAATCGCTCGACTGTAAAAAGGCTCAAATCGTCCGCGAAACGGCGTAAAGCTAGTAGCGGTAAAAAGCGCACAGTATACGATATATTTTCATAATCACCATTATTTCTAAATACGCTTGTCCGTGACAATAACGCTGGTAGAGCGGGCGACGATAGAAAAGAATGTCATTTCTTCACACACACTCGAGCGAGTGTTTAAAGAGCGAGCTCGATCTCTTCTCTTTACCGCCCACGCAAACTAGCATCGAAAGTTCGCAATGGATTCATTACAAACCCGTGACCTCGCTTTCGGACGACTCCCCGCTAGAATTCGTCATCCCGGGTCACGGAGAAGAATATTTAGATCTCACACACACGTTACTAAGTCTTCGGGTACGCGTAGAAACCGAGCCGCTACCCGGTCTCGCCGCCGGATCAGGCGTCAACGTGGGCCCCGTAAATCATTTTCTTCATTCCATCTTCAATCAAATCGACGTGTATTTCAATCAAAAGCTCGTGTCGCCTCCAAACAACGCTTATGCGTACCGCGCGTACATCGAAGCATTGTTAAATTATTCATCGCCCGCAAAAACTTCCCATCTAACCTCGTGCTTATGGGATGCGGATACACCCGGACACATGGACGATACGGCAGGAGCGGAAGGCAATACCGCTATAGCGAGACGAGCTCGTTACATACGCGGAGGGCGCGCGCTAGATCTTATAGGTCACCTCCATTGCGACGTTTTCAATCAGGATAAATTCTTAATTAATGGCGTCGAGGTGCGGTTGAGACTCGTGCGTTCGAAAGATACGTTTTGTTTTATAGAAACTAATTGCACGTCGAAAATTCGTATACTCGATGCAAGTCTAATGGTGAGAAGAGCGAAAATAAGCTCCGGAGTATTACTAGCGCATGCTAGAATGCTGAGCAAAGTTACCGCCAAGTATCCGCTTACGAGAGTTGAAATTAAAACATTCACGATTCACAGCGGGGTTGTGGGTGAATCGTTAGATAATGTAATACTGGGACAATTGCCGAAACGAATAATAGTAGGTTTCGTCGATAATAAAGCGTTTAACGGTGACAGAAAATTGAATCCGTTTAATTTCCAAAATTACGGAATAAATTTCTTCTCGCTATACGTCGACGGTACACAAATACCCAGTAGACCGTTACAACCGGTTTTCTCGTCTCGCGAACCGCTTTACATCGAAGCTTATCATACGCTCTTCTCAGGGACGGGTATCCATTTTTTGAACGAGGGAAATTCTATAAGTAGAGATGATTATTCTCGGGGATATACGTTATTCGCTTTTGATCTTACACCCGATCTATCCGCTAATTGCGCCGGTCATTGGAATCTCGTGAAACACGGAAGTCTACGGTTAGAAGCGAGATTCGAGAAGGCGCTCACCGAAACAATTAATTGTATCGTTTACGCCGAATTCGATAATGTCATAGAAATCGATGCATCGCGTCAAGTTATCGTCGATTTTTCCGGTTAGCTTTTAACACTCGTTCACCAACATGTATTCATACACCGTAATGTAATACGCGATTAGAAAATTTTCCCCCTCCTCTTCCTTTGGAAATTTCGATGACACTTTTCACGGAGTGGAAACTATGTAACGCGCTAGAATAAATTCAGTTTTGTACGAGACACAACCAAACGCGCACGTTTCGCTAAGAGCTTGTACCTCATCAACGAAAATCTCACAATATGGACATAGTCGTCGACATACAAGGTTTCCGCGATGAAGCCAATAAATTTATCGCGAAGGAAGTCGCCGTTGTCGCGATCGATACTCCGATTGTCGAGCACTGGATTATGATGCCACCATACGCGTTTGGAAAATTACCCGCAAAAGCAAGACGAGAAAACAATTGGCTCTCACGAAATTATCACGGCATCGAGTGGTTCGACGGCTCAGTTAATCCGAAATATTTTACCTCGTATCTCCGCGAAATTGCAAGACACGCGCGCTGCATTTACGTCAGAGGTAACGAAAAAGCAAACTACTTGAGGAATTTACTTTCCAGAGATATAAATAATTTGGAGGGTACCTCACCAGCATTTAAAAATCTACCGGATGAGGAGGATATCGTACAATATTGCGGTCATCACGGGATTCGAAAATTTGGAACCTTTCATTGCGCGTTATACAATGCTTATAAATTAAAATGCTGGCTAAGTGCGCAAAATAATTGCGAGAACGTTTCAACCTCTACTGAAGCTACTTGTAGTTCTGACGAAAGTTGGGAAATTACTTTCGACGATAGCGACGATAAATACGAAACCGCCGTTTCTTGCGATGTAAATGAGAATATAACTAAAATACAAATAGAGGAAAAAAATCAGCAAAGCAACGAACAGCAGATTGAAAAAGAAGAAGAAGAGAGATTTGTGATTTCTGAATCGTCATCGACGTTGACGGACAAGAACGAAACAATTTCCATCTCGACGCAAACTGACATTGAAAACCTCTCAAAACAACTCAAGATAGAAGAAGACGCATTATCGAAAGAGGTAAAAACCGGTATTGTTCAAATAATACCGTACACTCGTTCGTATTCGGGACAAAAAAAAATGAACTCTCGCGAAATTCTACAAGCATTGCATCATCTCGATGCCAGACATGTTGGAGTCTATGCAGCCGACAGAGTTCCGAGGGTGTGGACGAGGTCGACGGCTATCGTCGCTAACACCGACAATCACGATCGACCTGGAGAACATTGGATCGCCTTCTACCTCGATGAACACGGTACAGCCACTTATTTCGACAGCTACGGATTGCCCCCCTTGTATCCAGGATTTCTCATCCGACTTCGACGAAACTCCATCATCCATCGTTGGAATATTCAACAATTACAAGGAATTTTTTCTAAGACTTGCGGACAATACTGCTGTGTATTTTTATATTATATGTGCAGCGGTTATAATCTTAATCAGTTTCTCGCTCTTTTTTCCGAAGATTGTGAATATAACGATCGTTTAATCATACACTTATTTCGTAAAATTTTTACTCACAAAAAATAAGCGAATTATAACAATATATAATATGAATTTTAGTATGAATAAATAAATTTTGTTCTGTAAAAATATTTTAAATATAATCCATATTTGTACTTTTAAAACTATTGTTCAATTTTCTTTCACTTCCTCTTTCCAGAAATTTCCTCCACATGCATGTTCCTGTTTACCTTCATTAAGCAGCGAGTTATTTTAAAATAAAATTTTATCTGACATCTTTCTAATCTACGACGATGTATTATTATTTTTTATCGTGACGCGAGTCGGAATGCTCGCCTGTACAAATATTTGCGTGTTCTTTTTTATTACCCTACGCCATTGTCAGCTACTACCTGCCACCGGTCGACCGCACGACGCTTTTCTTGGCCAAAATGTTTTTACCCCACCCCGTCTAATATCGACCATTTGATTCGACGAGCTATCCTTGCCATACGTATACCCGAACTGTTTTTACCCCACCCCCGTCCAATATCGACCATTTGATTCGACGAGCTATCCTTGCCATACGTATACCCGAACCCCCATGCCGTACTCTACGCAACTTTAGCTTAAATACCACATCTAATCCTTAGACTAGTAAGATCTCGTTTAGCTCAACATACTAGGACCCTGCTCGGAAACACGGAGGTCCCGGGTTCAAATCCAGAGAAAATCAGAAAAAATAAAAATAAAAATTCTCATCCCCACCTTTCGGGGCCAGTCGCCATTTTTTTTTCCCCCAACACCCTTTCCCCCTAACACCCACACTCGGAAAAGCCAGACGCCGGTGGTGGGGGAAAGATAAGATAAGACCCGGCGCCAGACGGGTCGGTGGTGGGGGTTTGTTTTGACGGGCCATACCTGCCATTATACTACTCAGTTATATATTCACATTATTCTATGATATTCATAATCATTTTATAATTTATATTAAATCTTACCTGGGAGATATGTAAAGCAAAGCTCTAATTTCATCACAGATATAATTAAACTTCACAATATCATTAACGAAACTATTTATTTTATTTATAATTTTTGAAAATTAAATACTACTGTAAAACCCGTTTTATTATTTATGGAATTATTGATAGAATAATGTTTTTCGATTATTTCAGATACAGTATTTTTTATAAGTCTCGCATATGCATTTCCTATTTTTATATAGTTTGGAAGATTTTTCTGTTTATTCATTTCAGATTTCTCTTGTTTATCAACTTCCTGTTCATAAAACTTTTTTGCATAAGACTATCTAAAATTGGAACAAGAAATATTTTAATAAACTTTTGAAAATTACATTAAACAGGGCTGTTATATTGTTAATAAATTTCAAAATAAAGAATCTTTAAAACAAAGTATTAACTAAAATATCATTTGTGATTTGACGCGTGACATTGTAATCATATAAATAATACATTATTTATTTGGTAATATTTATAATATTTATATATATATATATATATATATATGTATATATATATATATATATATATATGTATATATATATATATATAATATATATATATGCCGGATTTAGGCGATAAAATGAAATAATAAAGTTAACGAAACAAACATGCTAATTATATGTATTTTTTAAAAGTTTATTTTTCTTTATTTCTCTTTTATAATATACATACATTATATTTATTGTATTTATATTCATAATATATTTATTTATTATTGTTATGTAAAACGAATCAAAAAGATTTCGTCCAGTCGGCAATAAAACAGGACAATTTATTTTCAACATAATTTTCTTTAACTTTTAATGAAAAGAAATCAATTAAATTGAATTAAATTATATTAATCAAATGGAATTAATTTGTAGCTGTCTTTGTAATGTATATTAAATTCATTTTTTATCTGTTTTCGTTTTATTAGAATATAACTTTTACTTTATATTTATTTTATTTTTAAAAGATATATTTTTAAAAAGTTCCATTAAGCAATAGGTTCATTATAAAAATTTAATTACAATATCATTAATACACAAGCAGTTACCTCTGCAAAAATTTTCTTTGCCAAAACTTCTTGGATTCGATTGTCCATCAGAATTATTCGCAAGTGCAGTTAAAGCTGATAATAAATTCAATACTTCAAACGTCGTAACTAAGAATGATGATGCATTATTTTCGTATAATTCCCTGTTTGAAAATTATATGTAAAATCTATATTATGCGATGCTGTTCTTACGCGTATATCGATTGTAGAGAGTACAAATGCAAATTTTATATGTACACTAGTAGAGATTTTCACACAGTATCCACTTTCTAAATTGTAAATACATAGACTGTCAAAAGACTGTTATACTTTTTCTCATCATATAATTTTCTTGTGACCGAGAAACACAAAGATCGAAAAGAAGAAACACAATGTTCTCTTTCTCTAAAAATATTTAAACAAAAGGCCGAAACGTTCGTATATAAGTACATATTTAATGTCAAAAAATATATAATATAATTTAAATACTAACATATACAATAAACGATAATATTGTTTGCGCCCTTTTTACTGCGCGAGGTCTTGATAGTCTTATATTAATTTGTTTATTTTTTCCTATATATAGGCCTTTAAGAATGTAGATAAATGTACAAATCAATTAGAATATTATCGTTAATTTTTAACTGGACATTCTTAGAGTAATATTCCAAATTACTGTAAATTATTTCAAATTTTTGATTTGTTCGTTTGAAAGTTATTAATTATTGAATTTTGCAATTTTAATAAAGGATATATGTGTGTTATGCGAAAGTTCGAGAGACAGATAAATTATTCACCAACTATGAAATATTAATGATAATATTGATTTTATTGTATAGTGTTCTTCAAATATGTAAAAATGTTTTTGCACGCATATATAAAGCAGAAATATTATTTCCTTTCTTACTTTCGTGCTTTCTCTATATATACCCATAATATGTGACTATATATATGTATATGGAAGGAAGAATAAAAGTCTTATTGATTGTATAGAGCCTATTAGGATGTGTGAGAATTGAATTTTTATGCGTTGCATAATTAATTAATATATTTTTATGCATTGATTGCAATAATAATATTTGCATGCATGCGTTGCAGTTTTTGATTTTATTATAAAAGAATAATATAACTTTGCTTCGCGTGTAATTATTCATATTTTTATAAACATCTTAAAATTATAACAAGCAGTTTCAAACAATAATATCGGGAAAACTCGACAATTTGATTAAACTTTTAATTATCTTCTTATAAACTCATATTTAACAAACAATTAATACAAATAAATTTGCGATTTTGACAGTTTAAAAATAATAGAACAAAATAAACTTTATTCTTTTTTTAAATTTACTTTTTATTAAATGTCATAAACTTGACAGCTTGTTATAATTTTAAGATGTTTATAAAAATATGAATAATTACACGCGAAGCAAAGTTATATTATTCTTTCATAATAAAATCAAAAACTGCAACGCATGCATGCAAATATTATTATTGCAATCAATGCATAAAAATATATTAATTAATTATGCAACGCATAAAAATTCAATTCTCACACATCCTAATAGGCTCTATACAATCAATAAGACTTTTATTCTTCCTTCCATATACATATATATAGTCACATAATTATGGGTATATATAGAGAAAGCACGAAAGTAAGAAAGGAATAATATTTCTGCTTTATATATGCGTCTTTAAGCAAAAGAAGATAGATGATTATATACAGAATAGCATATGATGTCCCATGAGAAGTTACTGAAACTTATTATTACCTTTTATATTCTGTAACTAGTATACCACGGTCTTAAATTATACAATTAAAAAATATTCTGTTATGCTCTATTTAGACAATATTGTTGAAAAAACAAATTCTGATTGGTTGCAAAGCATAGGAAGATGCTGTTATAATTTTACTTATAATGTACTTTATAATAATCATGATGTGAAATAAATAGTAATTATACATAAATATTATATTAAAATAAATAATAATTATTAGAAAATTATTAATTTTTCAATATAATAAAATATTATATATATAAATTATTGTTTCACTAATATAATTTTCTCTTTTCTACAAAGTTTCAATTTCTTTTGATATCTATATAAGTTAAAAGAATAGGTATTAAAGGAAAATTTTGATATCTTCGATATACATAAGTTATTTATACACATAATGTCAAATAAAAAAAATGTTTATAAAACATTGAAACCTTGTTAATCAGAGTTAAAAACTATTTTTTCAGTTTAGATTGACAGTTAAGATACAAAAGATTATCTTGTGTCTATGTATCTACTCTTGTCATTATTATACAAGGCATCTCCAATTTTGTAAATGTTGTAAATAATTATTATTATATATAAATATATACGATATGTAAAGCGCTAACACACCTTTTTTCTACTCCTATTACATAATGATTTCCTGTAATGTGCTAATTCATCTAGAGTAATCATCAAATACTATTTTATAATATAGGGCGGATATTTAAATATTTTGGATAAATTTTTAGTAGTAAGTTAGGATTTTAGTAGTAAGTGAAAGCTGTCAAAATAATTGTAAGCGTATGAACAGAGCAAATACGCTTCCGAAAAGAATGTGAGAAGTGTATATTCAATTTCAATTCTTTATTCGTCCCCTAAGGGATTGAAGGCGCTTTTGAAGGAGCGTTCCCCAACCTTACAAGCCTCTTACAATCATACTTATAACTACTCTTATCTCTACTCTTACATCTAATTTACAAATAACTTAATTCTACCTTAACCTACTTATCTACTACTTTAGAGAGAGAAAGAGCCGTCCCTACCTATCGCTTCGCTTCGGCTTCCGATTCCCCATATATTCTCCACCACCTCATTCATACCTCCACTCATTCTCCTCCTCATACTTCCTTCCTCCTTTTCCCCTCCCTCCCCCTTTTCTTCCGTTCCTTCTCCCCTCTTCCCTCTTTTTCTCTATTTCTCTCATCCATCCTTCCCCTTCTCCTCCTTCCTGCAATATTCCCTTCATTCTTTCCCACCAGTTTCCCTTCTCCCCTTCTCCCCCACATTCTCCTATCACATGCTCCCATGTTTCATCTTCTATCCCGCATAACCTACATCTTCTTTTCCCCTCTTCTTCCCAGTATCTCGCCCCTCTCATCTCATTGTTCATTCTGAACCTAACTATCCTTCTCCATCTACTTTCCCCCCATCCCTTTCTCAGGTATTCCGGTAAACCCTCCTCCTTCCATTCCCCATACCATCTATTATATCTCGACTCTCTTATCCTCTCCCATCTTTCCTCCTTTTGCCTTTCCCTGTCTTTCTGTTCCCACCCCTCATATACTTCTCTCTCCCCTTCCCCTTTTTTCCTCCATCTCTTTCCCTTCTATTCCTCTTTCTTCCCAGAATTTCTCCCTCTCTTCCTCCCACATCGTTCTTTCCTTTCCTCCTCTTATCCTCTCTTTCATATCCTCAAAACATTTCCTCGCTAAACTTCCTCCCCTTCCTTCCTCCAACTTCCTCTCATACCCTACCGCCCTCCTTCCTGCCCTTATCCTAAATTTGTCTTTTCCTATCTCCTCTCTTACCATATACCCCGGCGTGCACCAGTCTACTCCTAACGTCCACCTAATCCATCGCTCCTGCATTGCCTCCACCTCTCTCCTCTCCTTCCATCCCCATATTTCCGCCCCATATTCCAACACCGTCCCCACCAACCTTTCCATTAGCCATACTCTTTTCATCCAGTCTCCTGCAAACCTTCTCTTTCCCATTCCCCACACCTGTCTTATCACCGCTCCTGCTTTCCTAACTCTAATCTTTACCTGCGCCTCCTGCCCCCCGTTCCTCTGTAGCTTATACCCTAAATATGTGAATTCTTTCACTTCCTCTAACCTTTTTCCTTTCCATCTCCACTCCACTCTCTTCATTCTTCCTCCTCCCTTTTTAAACCTCATTACCTTTGTCTTATCCACATTCACCTCTAACCTTTTCTTGTCCATATAACTTTCCATTTTCCATTTTCCCCAACATATGTATCATCCCTTCCTCATCCTCCGCCAACAGTACCATGTCATCTGCGTACGCCAAACAATGCACCTTTTCCCCTCCCAGTTTCACCACCTCCTTTTCTTAGCACTTCCTCTATATCCGCTATCAGCAAACTGAATAAGTGCGGACTCATTGGGCAACCTTGCCTCACCCCCCTTGCCGTCCAAAAATTTTCTCCCTCCTCCTTCCCCACTCTTACCTTACTCCTCGTTTCCCTGTACACCTCTTCTATCCTACTCCTTAATCCTTCCCTTACTCCCCTCCTCTTCATTGCCTCCATTAACACCTCCCTATCTACCGAATCAAACGCCGCCTTCAGGTCCATAAATGCCGCGACTACCTTTCCTCCCTTCTTATTTACCCTCTTATTCACCAGATAGTTCAACACATAGATACTATCCATCACCCCCATTCCCTTCCTAAAACCTGTCTGACTCTCCGGTATCATATTCTTCCCCTCCATTTCTTCCTTTAACCTTTCAGTTAAAATCCCCACGTATATCTTGTATAGCGTTGGCATCAATGTCACTCCTCTATAGTTTTCCACTTTATTCCCCGTTCCCTTTTTCAACAGTGGCACTATTATCCCTTCTTTCCACCTCTCCGGCCATCCTTCTCCTCTCCATACTCTGTTGCACATTTCCCATACCCACTCTTCTACCCTCTCCCCTCCATATTTCCATACCTCACTCGGTATCCCATCCTCCCCCGCTGCTTTTCCTTTCTTCAGTTTTCCCAGCATCCTTTTCTTCACTTCCTCCCTGCTTATCTCCTGCTCCTCATCCCTCTCCCTTTTTTCTTTTCCTCCTCTTACAACTTTTACCTCTATCCCTCCCAATAAGTCCATGAAGTATTCCTTCCATTCCTCCGCCTTTATCTCCTCATTCACCCCTTCTCTCTTTTTCCTTTCCCTGTTTATAATCTTCCATACCTCTCCTTCCGTTCTTGCCTCTATCGCCTCCTTGTACCATCTTAGCCTCTCCTCCTCCCTTTTTCCTTTACACATTAGCCTATATTCCGCCCTTACTTTTTTATATCCTTCTCCTCCTCCTCCTTTTTTCTTCCATTCCCTTAACTTTTTCCTCACTTCTTTCCTCTTCTCCTCACATTCCTCGTCCCACCACTCTTT